GGTGAGAAGCCAGATGAGGAGAAGACCCAGCAGTAGGGTTTTAGGAACACCCCTGGGCTTGTGACTGTTCTCAAAAGTAGGAGCCACTCGCCTCAAGGTTAGGAGGTGGAATGCACTGAGGAAGAACGTTGACCACACATTGACTGATCGGAGCCACACCCAGAAACCCATCAGGAGCTGGCACAGCATTTTGGATACCTGCAGCTGTAAGCAAGAAGTGGGTCTGCATTCACAAATGTGAAACAAATATCTTGTGAAAGAAAGTGAAGTGTTGAAGAAAGTGCTTCACCAAGTAAATGGACATCTCATTTGACATATGGGGCTTTCTGACAGCCCAACAGGGGCTGTCTCACCAGAACGTAGCACATAGACACTTCTGCTGTCAGTTTTGTTGTCACATTGACACAAGTTGAATCAATTATGTATAATAATTATATATATATAGTATATATAGTATAGTAGATGGTACAAAAAAGTCTGATCATCATAACCTGTGAGTAAATTAAAGGGTGCCTCAATGGCACTCTTAAGAACTATTGATCCTGAAGACATACCTTGAGTTCCATATCTGAAATAGCAAGCACTGTGTTCCTCATCAAAGACACCAGCAGATTGGACAGCGCCATGTTAGCAATGATGATGTCCGTTTTGCTTGCCCCACCATGGTCCATAAGTATAGTCCTACCAAGCACCCCGACCACAGTGGAGTTACCCAGGATGCCAATTATCAGCAGGATGATGTAAAAGGAAGTTTGTGCAGGGGTCTCAAGGTCACCAAATGTCATCTCTTCAAGCTTTTTTTTTGTCCTTCAGTGTATCGTTTATTGTAGGCATTGTCTCAACAACTTATGCTGTGAATCAGTTTTAACAGCTGATGAATAGTCTGACAGCATGCTTCATCTTCATGGTTTTATCCCCCAATAAGCCGAGTGCCAGTTTAATCACATGACTGTTTAGTTTTGCAGGTGCCGTCTTTTAAGATGCTCCGTAGGGTCTATGGAAGAAGGTGATTCAACTTGTGTCAATGTGACAACAAAACTGACAGCAGAGGTGTCTATGTGCTATGTTCTGGTGAGACAGCCCCTACTGGGCTGTCAGAAAGCCACAAAGCAGAACTTTGCTTTATGCCTCAGGGAACCTGGGGTTCATGTTTAATGAAACACAAGAGATTAATCAGCATCCCTGAATGAAATTTGCTTTCTTTGCAGCTTGATTCATCATGCCACTATGCTAATCAAAGCGGAAGACTTTTTGTTTTCATGTATGTACTTGCATGTGGGTGAGTTTTCAGAAAATGAACAAGAAATTTGATATCACTTTTTCCCTTTAAAGGGTTTATATTCGAGGTGTGGGACAGATGGTGTTACATTATTTGAGGACAGGTGGTGTTATATTGATTTAAAGACTCTTGAGGCAAATGCGTACTTTGTGATATTGGCTATACAAATAAAATGGACTGGACTTTAATCTTACAGTGTATTTTGACTCTCACTAGGCTAGAGGTGGGTGCCAAGAAACACTGAAACCTTACTAAGGCCAATACTTCATATCATGTATGTAGCAGTATATGACACTGTTTTGTCCACTTGTTATTTAGCATTTTCAAACCACAAAGGTCACAAATCAAATTGGTCACTAACTTGACAAGGAACAAGCCTGCCAATCAGATTCGTTCATTATCAGAGATTAAGTCAAGCCCCCATTAGGGACATGTGAAGTTTCTAGGAGTGTTATTCCTGTTTATGGTGTGAGAGGTCCACAGATTGTCTGATACAAACACCCACATGTCAAAAACTGATTTAGGGACGATGACAAGAAGTGAGTTCATGCAACAAACATTTAAGAGTAAGGTTAGCCTTTTTATTTACCGTTAAAGACAGCAAAGTCTTCATATGTATACCAGTAAGACAAAACCCATGGCTGCATTATTTGAAAGCAACTGTAAGATAATCTGAAACATAGAACATCTTTGAGTGACCAAGCACTTTTCAGTCCTACCCATTACATTCACTCAGAGCCAGTTAAACAGCATTTTAAAGTTCAACTTATTTTGCATGTCCCTCTTTGAATGTTACATTCATGGGTTTGGGTGTGCTTAAGAAATAAAAAATAAAATCTATATTAGCATGAATGCTAATCATCACCATGAATCATTTGTCACTTGATTGGATGACATGAACATTTACCATTTAAAACAGCCACTAGATGGCCCCATAAACTACCAAATACCAGACACAACAAAACATTTTAATGCAGAGCTTTTTATTCCCTCCTAATAAAAGAAATGAAAATGGATACTGTGAAGACATTTTACAGAAACCTTTGGCTTGTTTAAAATGCCTAGAGAAACATCTTACCAAAATTCAGTAGCATATAAAGTTAAATATAAAACATTTTAAAGAAAATATATACTCACACTACATATTTGTTATCAACACTGAATACTTATGAGCAGTGAAAAGAAACAGGATGCTTATGCAGAAAGGGATTTTCTCTGATCTGAAGAGCCAATAATATAAGATACAACAATCTTGTTTGAGCTTTACAAGGATCACATTCTCCCTGTGTTTTGTCACTGACATCAATGCAGAAAAACACCATTCATTGGCAGAAAAAAAAAAACACTTTTCCTGACTTAATCCTGATCAACTTCAATATCAGAACATTTCCGGACTGCAGGAGGCTGGAGGCCCCAGTCAACCGTGAGGTTTGAACACACACTTTCTTGTTGTGAGGCAATGGTACTAACCACCACATCACTGTGCCACCCATATAATCAACAATCTAGCCAGTGAAGTCACATGAGGGCCAACATATGGTGCATAACAAGCAAGAAATTTGGTCATTAAAAATGGTCAAAATGAAATATTTCCCAGCATGCATCATTATGAACATTGTTTTTGTTAGTCGGTGCTGCCCCACACTGGATTTTAGGAAAAATGATTTTGCACTAATACCACTGTGTGTTACAGTTTTGATATACTAATATATTTGGATCACTTTCACAAATTAACACTGCTTTTACACATTTCAATAGATCAGTCATTTAAAGCACCAGTCAGTACAACTGCTATGCCAGACTAATATAAACAACACCAGGTGATGCTGCAGTCCTCTAACTTGGCATTCAAAACTTTTCATCATTTGGACTAATATCAGTTCATTTAATAACATTCCTGGTAAAACTAATATTGCAAAAATAATAATAATAATAAATATTTGTAAATTGTAGATGTCTTGGTTCAGAAAATATAATTTATAGGTTTTAATTTAAAAGGATTTATTGACAGGTAATACCAATTATTTACATTTTAGACAGGAAGGTAAATACAGGGCAGGACCATACTTAACATTTAAGGATTTTAAATATATTTAAGGCAAAATGGACATTTTAACTTCATTTCAAGCAATATGTTTTTAATTGCAGTATGTAACACTACTTTGACATTACAGCCTATTTTCAATAACAGTTCCTAGGTAGGCAGCCTGTGTATGCTGTCTACCTACCTACAAACAAATGTGGAATGCTGTGCTACACATCTTTTTTTAAAAGTTGGTGATATTTTCATTTGCAGGCAAAACAGATGTAATTTTGGTCGATATTTGCTCAGCCACTGTGAAGGCAAAGGCTAGGCGATGCAATACAGCCTGTTCTGTCACTATAATTTATTTCAAGGTGAAACTTTTAACTAAAGAAAAACATTAAAATGCTGGAATTAATCTGTTTTTTAAATGCAGCTGCCTGATTGCTGCAGATTCAGTCTGTGAACTTCACTGGCTGCAATCTATCAGGAAGAAGAGAAACCGGAAATTACACATCCTCTGATGAAACAAATTTGCTATGTATAAACCTAATGTCAGGAATTAAGAAAGAAGCATGATAATATTCAGCTCAGCTAACCTGTTTGACTCTCTGCAGTGCAGCATAATCCGCCTCCTCTGCCTGAGCCATATACCGGGGACACACACACTTGGCTGCTCGGGGCAACATGTGTGAGCCGTGTTGAATGAGAGGTAGGAGGCAGGTAGATGGAGAAGATGGGTGCCTTTGAGGGGGACTCATGTGAATTTTCTTTCTCCCAGCTCAGCCAGTAGCCTTTCAAGCCTTCCTGACTGGCCTGCCATGTTACCTGCACCTCCTGTGGCTCCACTATGGTTAGCCGAAGGTCAGCCAGAGCAGGCTGAACTGCCGCGGGTACAACAAAGAAGAAAATAAGAGTAAGATTTAAACAACTCAGTAAAGTGAAGCTGATACAGCGTGAAAGAAAGTATGATTGATGCACAAGATAACTTTAAATTGGCAACTTCTAAAGGTCAGCTTTCACTAAAGAGAAATAAACAACAAATATGATGCTTTTCAGCAAAGACAACTGATTATCTAGGAGGAGACACAAACTCACTAATGCACAGGGACATGCAACATAGTAAATGTCAAACTGAAAGAGTAGCCTCCTGAGTGCATGCCCTCACTGAAATGGCTTTTTGTTCTCCAGTCACATACAGAGCACTGACTGTGACCAAGTACTCAGTACCCGGGTCCAGGCCAGTCAGTAATCTAGAGTTTTCCTGGCTGGGTAACATCACAGTCTGGACACGGCCACTTGGAATAGCTCCATACTCCACTATGTAGCTCTGGACCTGAGCTGGCTGCAGGGGACACCAGCTCACACGAATCTGATGAGGGCCGGAGTCCGACACGGAGACCACCACTGGACTTAAAACATCTGAGGCGAGCACAGGAAGAAGAGACACTGGTGAGATAATGCCTAACAGCATCCCATTCAGACTGACTATAATGAATGACTGTAGTAGTGAATTTAAGATAGGTGTGGGTTACGGAATCTAGTGAATACGCTCTACAATTCCATGATGACTTCGAACTCCATCTTTTGAGGAAGATGGTGAAAAATGCTCAAATGCTTCATAACTGAGGGGAGCTTGTGGTAAAACTTCTTCCCCTCTTTCATGTTTAAGTGCAGTAAAAAATATATGTTTTCATAGAGGAAATCCCTTTTAGATGCTCTCACCAGGAAGTGTGGTGAAGTTAACAGAGAGCGTGTTAAACAGCCTCTGGTTGGACTTTGGGTGGAGGAAAGCAGTGTAGGTGGTATCAGGCTGCAGGTTGATCAGCTTTATCATGCTGGAATTGCCTGGGAGAGTGCGTCTGGTCTCAGAGTCAGCCATCGACATAACATTATACCAGAGTTCATAGCACCCACTGCCTGCACTCAGAACAGGACACCACAGCAGCACAGCACTGTGGGAAGTCAAGTGAACCGCACGCAGCCGTCCTACATGGATAATTTCTGTAAATAAGATGAGATGGGGTGAAGAGAGATCAAGGCAGAGAGAGATAAAATAAAAAATTTTGGTTAAAAAAATCACTTTTCAGTCAAAAATAATTCATAGCCATCATAGTGCAAGTGCTTCTACTGTACTAACCCTAACATTTGAAACACAAATACATGCACACACACATACTGAGGATGGCCTCCCTCAGGTCCTCTGTGATGAGGTCGATGTCATCAATGTCCACTGAGTAGAGGTGTGACTCCAGAGGAGGTGTCACAACACGTTGTAACACATCAAAGTTGCCATGTGCCATAGACACAATTAACACAGAAACTCCCTGCTGTTTCAGCTCAGACATCGACTCGTCAACATCTCCAGGCTGGACGCCATCAGTCAGCCAAAGCAGTATCTTTGGTATGTTCTCCTCTGTCAGGAGTTGCTGAGCCACCTCGAGTGCTGCCTTAGTGTTGGTGTCTCCCTGCAGCTGGCTGACACTCTGCAGGGCTTTCTGCAGACTGTCCTGATTGTTGTGGACGTCCAGGCCAAACTCCAGGACAGGGTTGGTGCCCACCTGCAGCAGCCCGACTCTTATGAAGCCACAACCCAGTGAGAAGGGACGAAGCAGGTGAGCAGCAAAGCACAACATGCGTACGAACTCATAGTTTGATACACTTCCTGAAGAGTCCAGCAAAAGGAGTATATCCCCTTCACAGCAGGTCGAAGCTGTGCACAACAGGAGGAAAACAGCTGTGACATTTTAATATGCAGGTGCTGTGTGAAACTCATGTCATTCTTTTTTTTGACAGGTTTACTAGTGATTATTTTTCAAAATCATTGTTATTATACAGCCTTTAACTCTTTTGCTACTTGGGGGCAACTGAAACAACATTCTCTGTTTATTTTGATATAGGAAACTTGTTAGCAAAGAGTGGCTAATTTAGCAGATACTGCCCACCATGTTTCTGGACACTATATGAACATAAATCCAATATTTACTCTCCTTTATGGGCTCCACCAACTCCTAAGGGAGACATCTGTCTCTTTAGTTGTGTTTACTGGCTTCTGTAATCACCAACTGTGTGTGTCTGCTTTCTGGTGCTAGGTAGGGTGGTAGGTTTTCAGAGCTGTTTTGTTAAAGCCATCCTGCACTGCATCTGGAAAAGGCACTGATGAGAGGTGAATCACAACAGCAAATCTGCAGCCATACCAACCAAAATAATAACTTAAAAAGCATTGACTGTATATAAAAGATGGACAAACCCACCAAGATGCTACTCATTGGTTTTCTGAAAAGTGGTTCTGAAGCTTAAGTCTGACTGTTGCCATCTTGGTAGTGCTGCACAATGCCTGCTACAGCTAATCCAAAAAAAGGCAAAGAGGTGGGGTGTGAGTGGAGCTCTCTAAACTGCTAGCGGCCAGCCACCTATGGTGGGACCCTGCCACCTGTTAGTCAAAGTGGCCACACCCTTTATTTTATGTAACTTTTAGTCTCAAAATAATTGAAACAGGCAAGTTATACAAAAATTTCTGCTGTAAAGTTGGACACTTTAACATGGAAAGTGAGATTGACTCCATTTTGGAGCCAGCCTCAAGTGGTCATTCGAAAAACTGCAGGTTTTGACACTTCCACACTGGCTTCATTTCTCATCGTCGTAGGTTAAAAGATGTAAAACTGAAGAAAACTAGTCTGGTGATAATTCTCCCTGGGTTTGTCACTATGAGCATCACCTTTTACTTTACAGTCATTTGATCAGGGTAACGCTTATTGCACCTCTTTCAGACACAGGGCCCAGATGCAGAAGAACTCGCCTCTAATTAAAGGTTATCATGGATTTTTCATACAATGGGGTGACTTATTAGGTGCCTAAGCTGCATCCTCAAACTGCTGGCAGGAATGAATAATCACATTGTGACTACATTAATATTTTATATCTCTGTCAGAGAAAAAAGGGGCACCAATTTAGGAAACCTAAGGCAAGGCTGATTTTATTATTATCACTGATACAGTTACCGTACTGTCCTTGTGGAAGCATTCATTTAAAAAATGAGAGGCAGTAACGGGTATGTGAGGAATCATTTCATGCATAACACTGGAGTCCTGAGAACAATTTGCTGTACAACGCACACAAAACATCAAAAAACACTGTGCTGAGAACACATAGCAGGGAACAGGAGTTGATTTTTCCCATGAAACCAGTGTGAGATTTATACTATATATATATATACACACACACACACACACACACATATATACATCAGTGAAAAAAGAAGTGGTGCAGAGAGAAAAATAGAAAGCTAATCCACTTGAGTGATCACATACTGGTCTCTCCATCACACCCTTCATTATTTCTCAGAAGTATTTGTGCTCCATTTTGTCTTAAAAAGTATTCTTACTGGAATCAATTCAAAGAAAAGAATCAATTGTACCTACAAGCACCATCCTGCACCATCAGATATGGGTCCAATATGTCTGGTGACTCACTCATCTGTTCCTCCTGGAAACTACCAAGGTTTTCTTAATAATGTTGCTCACTTCATGTTACTTTTAGAAGATTTGATACCTGGAGTTTATGATATCTTAGTCTTATAGCATTAGCTGTTATAAATGACTAACACACTGACATGAGTTATTAGAGTAAATTGGATTGAGAATGAGATATGAAAATGAATTCACTGCACAGTCAATTTTAAAAGTCCCCTACATGATGTGCACATCTTTATTGCTTCACTCCTCCTATATCATTCACACTTCTCTGTCATTTCAATTTGCTTCTTCACTGAACAGACCTGTTTTTATTGCAGCAATGGACCCATAGTCATTAAAACTTTATAGGGAGGCAGAAAATAAAGCAGTATGAAAATAAACAGGGAGAGAGCAGCGCAATCAGACAAAGATGCATCAGCCAACATTTTAATGAAACACCAATAACTTATCGAGTACAAGAAGAGAAAGATGGTACGGAGGGAAAAGGCAAAACCTTCAACAAAGTGAACCCCTCTGGATATTATGTTTACATGGCATCAAAAGAAAGAAGCTATAAGGGAATAATGAGACAGAGAGATGAGGAGACATGATGGTTAGATTGGAGTTGATGAAGGCAATGTGAAGGAATAGCTTCATCTTTGCATTCCTGAGAGGAAAAGTGTGTGTGAATGTATATGTGTGTGTGTGTGTGTGTGTGTGTGTGTGTGTGAGAGAGAGAGAGAGAGAGAGAACTGAGTATGTTCAGCACTCCCCCAGAACCACCATTTAGTTGGTTTCAAGCTGTGCCAAGGCCATATGCCACACTGTAGAGCTGCACAGAGGAATGAATAATATGCTCTGTAAACTGCATAGGAGGCTATGCAGTTTACAGAGCCCAACACATGTTGACATTAAACATGCTTTCCAGTCTCTAAACATTTCACAAATAAACTGCATGTTGTGCTGGCACCTGTTAAATGTTTGCAGATTTCCTGCAGAAAAGTGAAACAGCAAAATTAAAGTAAAAATACTATACATTCCATGTCAGCCTTTTTGGGATCTGTAATTTAGCCTGGAAGTCAAAATGTCTTAATTAGTTGTGGACACCTGTAATGTAAGGATCACCACTTTCTCCAAGTCAGCACTGAGAACGAAGTTCCTGACATTGTTAGGAGGACCCAATTTTTATTTTTAAAATGGATCGACATCAATTTTTATCTCTCTTCATTCAGACCTCACCCATCTGCGAACCAAAGCTGATAATAGCAGCTTTAAGGTAACGCTTATTGCACCTCTTTTAGACACAGGGCCCAGATGCAGAGGAACTCGCCTCTAATTAAAGGTTATTATGGATTTTTCATACAATGGGGTGACTTATTAGGTGCCTAAGCTGCATCCTCAAACTGCTGGCAGGAATGAATAATCACATTGTGACTACATTAATATTTTATATCTCTGTCAGAGAAAAAAATTTTTATTTTTAAAATGGATCGACATCAATTTTTATCTCTCTTCATTCAGACCTCTCCCATCTGCGAACCAATCACTGCTCTTCATTCCACAATCAGCACCTGTCATACTGTTCTGTTCAGCTTTTAAAATAACTGTATGTACTTCATGGCTCTGGAGGTGCTTTTTCAAGTAATCAGAAGTAATCTGAGTTATCTTGTCGTGGGCTTGGAGACTACAAAGTTATAACAAAAAGCCTGTGTTATGAACTGAGAAATGTAAGATCCACTGTTTTGAAACTTAACTCATATTAGAGAATAAAAGTATGCATATCTCATTCCACAGTGATTTAGATGGTTTAAAAAAAAAATCTTTCCCTTGCTAGTCCCCTGCTGGACTGCCTCTTAGGCATTCATGCAGCTGACCAGAGCTGACATGTTGCTGAGTTGCACATGTTTCTATAAACTGGCTGTAGTATCTCCAATGGTGTCATAATTTGGAAAATTTCCACAGCTCTGATTTGTTACATAGAAAGCCACAGAAACAACTTCAGTTACAAACACCTGGTTTCTTTTGCAGCATAAGAAAAAATATTCTATGTGTGAAAGTAAAATTCAGACCTTTAGAATCACATTTAATATAATCTTTAACGGCCAAATGAACATGCAAGGAATTTTGACTTTAAGGTAAAAGGAGCCACACTAATATATAAATTTACTAGATCTGAATCACAAATAATAATAACAATGAAATGATGAATAAAATTAAATCACACTCCTTTAGATAGATAGATAGATAGATAGATAGATAGATAGTCCCCCAACTCTGCTGGACGTCCCCTTTGCTTGCTCTAAAAGGACTGCTTGAGGAAAGATCCTGGCCTGTTGCTACGTATTAAATATCCAGTATTAACTCATGCTTTTCTGTGGCGTACAGCGATCTGTCTCGACATTATTAACAGCCAAATAATTTTCTTACGAATAAGAATAAGCTGTCTCGCAGCTTTAGAGTGCATTTACACAGATGATGACTTTTACAGTAAAGAAAAAAATGCGCTTTTTGTGAAGGTATAACTTTCAGCCCAGACTCCATTTACAAAATATCTTATTTATCTAACATAACCTCTAGGACTAATAAGATTGCAATCTGTCTGCTTTATGTTTGTGTGTCAGGTCTATGTGCTATTCACACTTCATTCGGCCGCATATGAAACATAAACGTGTACTTCTTCATGTCAGTATACGAGTTTATGTTGTCAGCTCACCTGTGACAGGTAGAGCAATTTGCATGTTGCTCCGCTCCAACATCGCCCAGAGAAAAACGAAAACGCAGCGAACTATAATGTTCTTCGTCATTTCCAGCGAGCATCAAAAGTAAAACAGGACAGTCAGATGAAATAACCGACACCGGATCCCATCGTATTCATAACTGTGAAAAATGGTCCAGTTTGTGTCTGAGCAGCTCCGTCGGCGCTTCAGCTGATTTTAGCTGCGCTGGTAAGGAGCAGACACCTGCGTCATTCATACACACCACAGTGTTGTTAACATTACTTCTCCCATTCAGACCCTACACACTTCACTTTCTGGTCGATTACTCCTCCTCCAGCTCCACTCACTTTTGCATCTCTCTGTGATTTTGTGTCTTTTAGAGAATCAGAATCAGCTTCATTGGCCAGGTGTGACGGACACACAAGGAATTTGACTCTGGCACATCGGCTCTCAATGTGCAAACAGTAAACCAGCATAAGGCTGTGTAGTATAACCAAATAGCAGTATTAACATCAACAAACAGTGCAAACAATGCAGGAAAAGCAGTGTAAACAGACAGTAAACAATGCAGACAACAAAGGAATGTTCATTGAAATGAGATAAATAGGGATAAAACAGAGTACTTAAGAACTAGAGACCTGTACGAGTCTGTATAATCTGTACAATGTATATGGGGTTCAAACAGGTTGTGTCCAGGGTGTGAGGGGTCTCCAGAGATCCTCTCCGCCCTCCTTTTGACCCGTGAGGTGTACAGGTCCTCCATGGAGGGCAGGCTCACACCAATGACCTTTTCAGCAGTCCTGACTGTCTGTTGGAGTCTGTACTTTTAATGGTTGCACCATGGCTTCGGTGGCTGGTTTGTGTCTTTGTGGTTATTTAGCATTTCTTTGTGGTCATTTTGTCTCTTTTCGTTTCAACATTTTTTATTCACGTTGCAAAAATGTTAACAGTCATCTGGTACATATGTGACCACCCTCACCCCTTGGATCATGGGCCTGTGGCCAGTAGGCTGTTCAGTAATTAATCACTGGCCACTGAAGAACAGTGAAACTGCCCTGACATTCATTTTATTTAAGGGACACCCTGGAAGCCCATCAAGATGACCACAAACTGGACCTCACTTTGGGAAACAGCAACAGGGCAAAACAACCATTTCACTGGAGCAGCAGTGACAGCAGAGGAGCCAGTTCAGCCAGGATTACAGCAAATACAGCTGCCACTTATCAGAAAGATAACTTGTCTTGGATGCAGGCTATTCACAAGCATTTATTACAGATGACGACAAAGGGACCTGGATTCCTGTCTCCCCTGTATGTGTGTGTGTGTGTGTGTGTGTAACCAGATAGAATAAATGGAGAGCGCTGACTGACCCTCTTGAAATGAGAGATGGGTCTGCTGCTAAGACAGAGTACTTGTAACGTAATTTAAAATGATCAGAATTTGGCTGAATGTGACAATAGTTTTAATTTTCTAACGTTTTTTATGTTTTATACCAGTGTATCTGGCAGGGTGTGGTTCAGGGTGAGATGGAAGTGGGATGGCAGGGCATTCTCAATCTGCTGGAATCTTGACTTCTCTTACTAACTTCATATGTGCAGCAACAAGTCTCAGCATATATTGTATGTATTTAAGAGATAATCCAAATAAATTATTTCCACCAACAATGAACAGAATTATTGTACTAATTAAATTCTGTAATCTGTAATAATATACACATAACTGCAAGCACTAAAACCAAAGTGGAAAGCAACATGGATTTTGTGTCCAAGACAAAGAAATCATTGTGAAACCACAACCAAATAAGATCTAAAGTGTTAACTGATGCTAACTAACTAACTAACTTTATGCTAAGATAAGCTAAATTCTGGCTGTAGCTATTTTATATGAACAGACATGACAGTGGTAAAGCTAAATATGTGTATTTCTGAAAATGTGAAACTATAAATAAAGAATGTGAAGGTAAGTCATGCAATGTTGAATGTTGGTACGGGGGCGCCTTTTTGGGAGGAGGCACTTTTTTAATTAACATATAGATGTATGCAGTGTATATACCTTGATAATGAGGGCGATGCTCCCAAAATGGCACATTTACCCAAAATTCAAGACGATCTAAGGCTTTAAATCCATCTTGACTCCTGAACTCACTTCACACTCCATAATTAAACTGAAAAATTCCACAGGCACAAACACATGCACAAAGTCACACACAGGCTCATAAAAGCACACAGTGCATTTAATTTATAGAACTGAATTTGCCATTGGGCACTAGTGTGACTTTTAAGTTTCCTTGAACATTTCTTCACATTATAAATTATGGATATTTTAAAACCTGACATTTTTGCTTAGTAAGCACAAATATCTTACCGTGAAACACTGAGGTGACCTTTCAAAAATATATAGTAATCAGACCTAATGTCAAAGGTTATTCTGACATAATTTTTCCCATCTTTATACTCAAATACATTAGAAGGTCTAACACTTGAGGTATAGCAAACCAATAAACCACACCACACTAGTGTATGTAGTCCAGATTAAATCCCAACAACAATCAGACTTTGGTTTGGTGCCACTTCACAAATGTTAGCATACTATCTGACTAAACTAAGACGGCTGATATGGAAAACCATAAACCTGCTAAACATCAGCTTGTCAGCCTTGTCACTGCCAGGAAGTCAGCACAGCTGGCCAAGGGATACCCCACCAAACCTTTGGGCCCAGTAAGTCAACCATGTATGTGTTACATACTGTACTGTATTGAATTAGTATGTGGCATGGAGTGTGACACTTTTCATAAATTTCCAGCTCTACACTCAGATAAATGAGAAGATCTAAAACTAAGATTTTATAATAACCAGAGGCAGTCAATAGGCTGTGCTCTCTGTTTTCTGAGATGATGTAGGAGTTTTCTCCTCCATCATTAGAAGCTCAGGACTGTAACTCTCACGTTTGTACAATGAAACGTGCATTTTTTGGCTTCCTTTTCCACTAAATAGATTTTTATTTGAATGCTTATGTTTGTAATAAACACTGTTTATATTAACTCCCGCTGTAGCACTGCAGCCTTACATGCGTATTTATGCTCCTCAGCTCAGTGATTTTTAAAAAACTGTGCAAGCAGTATCATAAATTCCTTCTGTGCATGCAGTATGAAGCATACTTAATTAACACACTACGCACTTTATTCTCCACAGTGTAAAAAGAATCACAGCCTGGTTGTGCACAAACAAAGAAGACGTGCTATTAAGAAGCTGTTTTATTAAAGTCATATTGATGAGCTTAGCCTTTGCTGAGGAGTCCTGCCGATCAATTTCCAGATGAATGTGATATCAACCCTCTGACTCTGATGCACAAATTAACAGGATTTGTTATCACAGCAGCACTGTGAATAATGTTAATATTGTCCACACAGGACAGGATGAAGCAATTACCTATAACCCTTCAGGTCTGAATGTTTTCATTATGAACACACATTTGTGCTGCCTCAATGTTTTTAAGCTGAATGTCTGCTCTCTGTGAACCAAAAAAAAAACAAAAAACTTCCTTGTAAGCAAGGAAATGCAACATACTGAAGACTACAGGCATCGATTAGAGGCACTGACTCAAAGGAAAGGCCAAGTAGGATGGGGCCTTCCTTCCTTCCTTTCAACTGCATACTCATCCATGTCTGGGTCTGAGGCACCACAGGCCCTCTCTCTGAGATGCAACTAGATTTTTCCATGAAAACAGTGGCCAGGTTGGGGCACAAACTCAGGGAGGGGTGGCCCCTTTGAAATGCATGTAAAAACTAAATTAAACCCCTAGTTCTATGAAATAATAGGCCACACATTGTTAAGAATCAAATTGTTTATTTTGTGTAAACACAAAGTGCTTTTTTAGCACTGCTGCACAGTCCCCACCCATTTACTAAGCTCCAGAAAAAATGTTAGCTTTATTGCAGGCAAGAATTTTTCATCACATCACATTCTGACTCTGGCAGGGGCAGCACCAGGGCTGGCCACTCAGATTCGAGGGGTGGATGGTGCCACCCCTGACCACCTCTTGGTTCTGACCGTGAAGCGATCTATATGCAGGGCTATTTACAATCTGTATGTAATTTTGGATAATCATGGATTTTCCAAACTGAGTGTTGACCAAACATTCATCTTTCATTGAATTGCTAATTATCATTGACAGATTTCAAATACAACCTCTCCAGAGTCATAGTTTGGCATAATAAAACACGCACTTTGGCATTGGTTTTCAGAATGGACTGTAAAAGAATGATTCTCACTGAAACCCACTCTCCTGAAAACAGCACAGGAGGCTGTGTTGGTGGCTGCAAGTTTGTAAGAGGCTTATAAAACTCACAAACAACAATGAAACATTTTTATAGCTGCAATTATTTTATGTTTTGTTTTGAGGTTTGTGAGGTAAACAGTAAAGCTACAGCTTGGCCAACTCAACACACTGACATTATGTTGTGTTGTGTAATATTCATTCTCTGGAAACCTTAAACATTTGCACAGAATTTCATGACAATCCACATAATAGCTGTTGAGATATTTCAGTCTCAAGAGCAGGGCTTGGACAGACAACCATGACTGACAGTGCTGTGCTGCTAGCATGGCTAACAAAGTGCAAGAATCGATTGTGGATGGTGAAGAGCTGACAAGGAGCAGACACAACAAAGGAGGGAGAATGTAAAAAAGGGAGAGATGTAACTTTATAACATTTACTAATTCAATTGCTGTGAAGTGTTTATCAGTTTATGAGTATGCGGTGAGGTGAGAGACGAGGCTCCATAGTAGAGAAACAAAGCACAGTTTTGTTTCATTTTAAATTTCCAAAGTGTTTTTTGTGTTTTAGAAAGTTGGCACGGAGTCAAATCTAATCTCCAGTTTCAGGGCGCTGTTGGGAGGTGGGTCTGCCTGAGTAAATACAACTCTTCAATGTCATTCTAGAGACCACTAACCTTCAGCAGCCTCATAAAACAGTGAAAAGCATTTCATGAATGCAGTTTTGGCTGAAGGCTGCAGGCATTTTGCCAAATAGTCACTGTGACAGCCCACTGTGAAAGTGAAATTCATTCATCCATTGATCTGGAGGATGATCCGGTTGACTGGAGTGTACCAGATGATGATAAGTTTCTGATTCAAATGTTAATGGAGCAACTGAAGTTGTGTAATTGACTTTAATGTCTGCTAGTCACATTTGTAATCAGATGAAAATTTTACAATGGTAATTTTGAGGAAAGATCTAGGGCTTTTGG